TTCTCGTTCATGCGAAGACGCGACGCTCAGTGACCACACGTCTTCCTCGTGAGATCAAGGTTCGGGCTCTCTTGCTCTCGCTGAGAGACAGTCCGGGGCTGGGCGGATAACAAACATCCCCTGAGAACCGCGGCGTCGGAGCGGCTTCATTTTTGTAGGAAACGTAAAAACGGAATAAAAATAAACTGTCGGCGCCCAGCGCGGATTTCTTGGATCTGCGCTGGACCCGCCTCCCAGGCGCGCGGAGCGCGCCAGGGGCGGCGCCGGAGGCGCCGCCAGGAGGAGCCTCAGCGCGGAGCCAAGAGATCCGCGCGGAGCGCTAAAATTTGGTGTCCCTTTCTCTCTTCCAATCCTTCACTTCCTATTTCGGCGCAACAGAAAAACATAGAAATTGTGCCCCCCCTCCTCTCGCAGGCGACTCCTGGCCCCCCAAGCCCAGACTTCCCTCCCAGAACCGACGCAGCCGCTCCCTCGATCCGCGGGCGAGGAAGGGTACAACATACACTTTCCCGCCCTCGGGGAAGCCTGCCCCTGGGCGGCTGGCCTGGGCTTATGTTGCTCCCGTCGTACTCCAGGGCCGCATCCATGAAATAAGTTCGAGCGCCCAGAGAAGTCTCGAAACAGTGTCGAACGAGTATCGCCTCCCGGGGCCCGACGCGCGAAAACCCTCCAATTGTTCGGCACTTTCCTGGTGCTCGAACTTCCTCCTGGTGAGATCAAGGCTAAAGAAGGCTGGCACATCATAAGGCTGGGCGAATCGGGTATCTTCTGACCCGGGTCAATCCAGACCCGGGTCAGCAGGAAACCCAAACACTGCCATGCAGGAAAACAAAGACTGCAACGCAGGTCTTCGCACACCCGGGTCAACCAATGTGCGCGGCCGCCTCGCGGCCACGAGCGGCTCGCTGACCCGGGTCAGCCAGAGGCGGTCCTCGCAGGGTCCTGCAGGATCCGGTGCCCTGGCCGACCCCCGTTTGCATTGACCCCCGTCTCTTGATGCCCCGAGCGAGCCACGGCGTCGGAGGTCCGGGGCGGTGGCGCCGCCCGCCGCCGCGCCCCGCGCCGCGGCGGGCGCCCGCCGCCGCCCCCGCGCCCGGAGGCGCGGCGCGCCCGCCCACCGGCCGCGGGCCAGCCCGGCGGCCAGTGGAGACCGCCCCCGCGCCGGGCCCCCGGGGCGCGCGGGCGCCTGGGAGGCGCCGGGAGGAGCTCCTCCTCCTCCCGTCCTCCTCCTCGTGCTCCCTCCTCCCTCCTCCCTCCTCCTTCTCGTCCTCGTCCTCCCTCCTCCCTCCTCTCTCCACTTCCTCCTCCTCCTCCTCCTCTTCTTCCTCCTCCTCCTCATATTCCTCCTCCTCCTCCTCCCCCCTCCTCTTTCCGCCCCTCCTCCTCTTCCTCCTTCTTAATCGTGAGGGGGTAGGGAGGAGGAGGAGGAGGAGGAGGAGGAGGAGGAGGAGGAGGAGGAGGAGGAGGAGGAGGAGGAGGAGGGAGCAGAGCAGAGCAGCACCAGTGATCCGATGACGTTCAACTGCTCACATATAGGCACACTGCGGGCCCTCAGGAAATCAAAAAAACGGATCTGACGTTCGAGAACCACTCTAGGGGCCCGATCATCTCTGGGGCCCTGAAGGGGGACACCACTGGCAGAAAGGACACCCCTTAGATGGAGACACCTCGGGGCCCGTCGATACACTCACACGCTAAACAGAAGCCAGAGGCGAGCGACGAAAAAGCTCTCCCATGCGCAACCCAATCAGGACTCACGGAGGGGGAAGGAGGAGGATGAGGATGAGGAGGAGGAGGAGAGGTGAGAAGGTGGAGGAGTAGGAGGAGGAGGAGAAGGAGGGGGGCGGCCTCCGAGGAGGAGGAGGAGGAGGAGAAGGGGGAGGAGGAGGAGGAGGAGGAGGAGGAGGAGGAGGAGGAGGAGGAGGAGGAGGAGGAGGAGGAGGAGGAGAAGGAGAAGGAGGAGGAGGGAGGAGGAGGGGTGAGTTTCTGTTCCCTCCTGACGGCTCAGGGGGGGGTCCTCAGCATCGAAGGCCCTTCGCGGTTCCATCGCCCGGATGGTGGGGCGTGCTCGTCTTCGGGCGTCCAGACTTTCCGAGGAGCGTGCCGCGCAGGCCCCGAGATCCTCGGCACTCGCTCTCGGCTTAGCGCCTCGGCTCCTGTTAAAAACAAGTGGCTCTCGCCCTAGCGCCGCGCACATTGTCAGAATTTCACTGGTTCTCGTGGTTCACACACCAGAAGAGGTGGTTCGGAATGACTAAGGGTCGCCACGGGGCAACATTTACGTTATCGCGGTGTTAGAATTCCGGGAACGGTGTTCTACCACGGTTTAGGATCGCGGAAACGTACCAATCGGGTTACGTAACTCGTGGCGTTGGAATCATGATTTGTTGGACACGTGTCAAGATGTTCACACGGTTGTCCCCCGACGGGGGAATCTCCCTCAGTGGAAAGGACCCCTTGTAGGTTATAGGGGCCTGATTATGGTGAGGGATCTTGGAGGGAGGGTGCACTTCAACATCGTTGGTGATTCTTGGTTTCTCACCCTCCTCCTCCTCCCCCTCCTCCTCTGCTTCCTCTCCCGTCGTTCGCCGCCGTACGACTGTCGCTCCCGCCTGACAGTCGCGGACGCCCAGCGCCAGCCACCTGGCACAGGCCCAGGTATTGGCTCGCACCCCGCCGCCCCCGGCCACCCCACTGCTGGGCCCAAGCGGAGGGCTTGGGTTGGGCGCGATTTAACGGGGGGCGGTAAATGGGGGGGAGGGGGGGAGAAAGGTGTAGTTTTCTTGCCATGGGCCCCCTCTGGGGCCTCAAAGGGTCCTTTTTAGGGCTCGAGGGGGCCCAGTTCTGCAGCCCTCGCTGCCCGCCATGCAGTGATCGCCCCCCCGCATTGCGCGCCCCCCAAACGGGAGTGGGGCGAAGGGCGAGCGGGCCCTTGCGGCAGCCACCGTCCTCCTCTCTCCTCTCCCACCGCCTTGAAAGATACGCGCGAGACCACGACCTGCTCTTCGCGCCATGGTCTGCGCCGTCCTGGCACTCCTTTCGCGTCTGAGTGCGGCGACCTCGCGGCAGGCCGGGCCTGCTATTGCTCGACTGTTCCCCGCCTGCGCGACCCTCCGATCGTGCGTGATCCCCTTTCTTCTTCCCCTGCATGTCGAGGATGCGGAGGTTTCGCGGGCCCGTCTCTAGCCCGTCCCATCATACGTTATTTCTTCTACGACTGTGACTGAATGTACCTTCTCCCTTCGCCGCCCCCTTCTCCCCGAACTCCCCCCCCGCACCCCCTGCTCTCCTCCCTGTGCCTCTCCCTGTCCTCCTTATCCTCCTCCTCCACCTCCACCTCCCCGTCAATCCACCCCTCGGCGACGACGACAGTGACGATGACAGCGGCGGCGGCGGCAGCGTCGACCACGACCTCGACCTCGACCTCGACCTCGACCTCGACGACGACGATGACGACGACGACGTCGACGACGACGTCGACGACGACGAAGACGACGAGCAGCCTTGGTCAGCAGCCGCCCCGCCGGCGGGGCAGCCCTCGCCCCGCCTGATGTGCCTGGTTTCCACCAGCACCACCAGAAGATGGAGGGGGAGGGGGTCCTCCTTCTCCTCCTCTTCCAGCTCCTCCTCTCTTCGTCCTGGTGGTGGTGGAAAACATGCCCATCAACGCCGCCGCCCCCGCGGCCGCCGCGGGCGCGCAGCGCCGACGCCGAGGCCGGTCCGCTCCAGCAGGCGACCATCGCCGCGCCCCGCGGCGGGCGGGCGCGGCCGCGCGCGGCCGCCGAGGCGCCCCCGAGTGGCCGGCAGAGCCCTGGGCCCTCCTCCTCCTCCGTCTCCTTCTCCTAATTAGTTTCTTCCACCTTGCTTCGCTCCTCCTCCTCCTCCTCCTCCTCCTCCTCCTCCTCCTCATCCTCCTCCTCCGCATCGCTCCCTCCTCCTCCTCGCTCCCTAGTCCTCCTCCTCCTCGCTCCCTCCTCCTCCTCGCTCCCCCTCCTCCTCCTCCTCCTCTCCTCCTCCTCCTCCTCCTCCTCACTCCTCCTCCTCATTCTCCCTCCCTCCTCCGCCTCCTCTCTCCCGCCTCCTCCTCCTCCTCCTCCTCCTCCTTCCCTTGTTCCTCATTCGCTCCTCATGCCCTACCCTCCTCTCTGCTCCCTCCTCCTCCCTCCTCGTCCCCTCCTCCTCCTCCTCCTCCCCCTCTCCTCCTCCTCCTCCTCCTCCTCCTCCTCCGCCTCCTCCCCCTCCTCCTCCGGGGACCAAGAGCCGGCAGAGCCCTCGCACGAGAGCGGAGCTCATGCACCGTACCATATCTGGACTGCATTCGCTGAAGGAGAAGAAACGGCATCAACAGAGAAGGTCCAGCGGATCTCAGCGGAGCGCGGAACGCCAAGCATTGGTGTTTGCGGCGTTTTACGAGTTAAGGCACCGCTCCAACGCGGTACGGTTCATAGTTTGCTCGTCTCTGGTGGTCGAACAACTGTGCAACGCACCGTTCCTGGGTCGAGAATCGACGACGCCACGAGAGGCGCAAACGTGGTACGGCGCACACATGTCGTCCACGGACCTCGCCCTCGGTCGTGACCGTTGCGCTCGTCGTCGCCGTCGTCACAGTTCTCCGACGCTGCCGTCTTCGTCGCGGCTGTCCTCCTGCTGCGGGTGTTGCTGCTCCTTTTCCGCTTTCTCTTCCGTCTTCTCCTCCGAGGGCCTCGGAGAAGCTACACAACAAAAAAGCCGAAGAACACACTCAGGTTCCCAGACGGCCCAGGAAAACTCCCGAAGGGCCCCACGACAGCCCAAGATGGCCCACGACGACCCGAGAGGCCCCAAAGCTTGCCGAATGATGCGCCCAGAGGCTCCCAGGACAGCTCAAGCCCCGGCCCCGAGGGGACCCGGCTGGACCCTAAGAAACCCCCAAGAGGGTCCAACAGCCGCCCCAGACAGTCCCCATATGACGGCCCAGTTGGTTCCCATGAAAGCCCCTCATGGAACAGAGGCGAGATATCCTGGGCGCTGCTCGAGGCGTCGCCGCAGCTGGTGCTGCGCCAGCGCAGTGGTGCGACTTACCGCGGCCCCCTTCATAGATTCCCTCCGCGGCTCCCCGAACTCGGCCAGCTGGAGAGCCCATGCGCTCGCGCATGAGATCCCGTTCGCGCCGACGGCCAAGCGGGGCAGACACATCCTCCGCCGTGAGTGCCCTTCCGGGGAGGCAAGAGAGGGAGCGGGCAGCGAGGGATGGGGCAGCAGACTGACCGGGGGGGGGGGAGGGCCGATAGGCTGGAGGTGCTGGAGGAGGCGCCGCGGGCAGGGGCACAGAGCAGAGACATCGGCACGAGCGTGCGCATTCCGAAGTCCGCGCGGATCTCTTGCGTCGGCGCTGGGCTGGGCCCGTGCACGAAGGCCTCCTCGAGGCCTCCTGGATGGGGGCTAGAGGATCGCGCCGCATCACCGGTGCGGCTCGACGAAGAGCTCGATTTTCTTCTCGCCGACATCGCCGATGCATCGGCAATGCGCAATGCATCGGCGACACACGGCGATACATCGGCGATGCGGCGCGATCCTCCGACCCCATTGACTCTGCCCGGACCCATCTGCCTGGACCTCAGTGGGCCCCAAAATGGCAAAGCCACGGTGTCACCGCTTCCGACCAAAAAAATCGTGAACATGGAAACGGCAAAAAACACAGCCGCCAAAAACGGCAAAGAAACGACTCTGGGATTGGACCTGAAGCCGGAACCGGAAAACAACGCCCACCGAACCGGCCACAGAAAGGGCCCCCGAAACGGCAACAAGCACGGCAAGGTGGAACCGGGAACCAAAAGCGGCCCTGTCGCTTCCAAGGGCCCCACGGGCTCCGAAATTGAGCGAAAAGCTGGGGGCACCTTGGGCCAGGGGCACCCGTCTAGCAACCCCCGACAAGAAGGCACCGATGCCGCTGCTCCCCACGACTCCTCCTGGGGGTGCGTCCCGCCTGAGCTGTTCCGAGGCGGACCCAGCCGTGGCGAGCAAGGCATCGCAGGAGGCCCGGCAGGGCGAAGACGGGGCAAGGACAACGGGAGCGCGCGTCGCCAGGCCGCCGCCGCAACCGTCGCGGGCCAGCACCGTCACAGGTGCCGGCGCTGTCGCCGACCGCAGCCAAGCCAGCCCACGGCGCGGAACCCTGGGAAGGGCGCGCCCGGCGCCGGAGCGACTGCCGTTTCTGAGGCGCCCCCCGTGCGTGTTGCACGCGCCAGTGGGAGTCCGCCCAGGGCACGCCCCTGCTGTCGGCCGGGGGCGCGGGGCACTGGCAGGCGGCAGCCCGGCGTCCATGGGGAGGAGGGATTGCGGGGGGGAGCGGTGCAGAGGCAGCTCTGGGGGGAGTCTTCGCAAGGACCGGGCAAGCCACACGGAGGGCCAAATGGATTTGCAAAAGATTGGGCCCAAGATTTAGCGGGTTGTAGGTCCAGGCCAGTCCCGGATTAAAACAGGTTCCAAACCCAGGACTTCATGGGGTTAGCGGGACCGTGCAGGGCCAGGACGGCTTTCGACCACGGATATACCATCGCTGATGCTGAAGCGAACCTCCCAAAAGTTGAATCCGAAAAAGGGTCACGGAGGGCGAGTGGACGAGGCAGGCAACTCGGGACGGGGGGGATTGGGGGCGAGAAGGTCGAATTAGCGCAGGGCGTGGGATGGACCAGGATGTCACGGGAGCGGGCTCGGAGCATCTCCCAGAACAGGCAGGCCCGAAGGATGGGCGGGGGGAAAGGAGAGATATTAAGCTCAGCGTGCCCTGGAAACGACCAGGCCGTTTCTTTGCCAATTCCGTTTTGCACTTTTCTTTACCAATTCCTGCGCATGCTCGTGTTTTTTGCAACCGTCTTTGTTGCCGGCTTCGACCCCAATCCCAATCCCAGAACAATTCGTCCCGTTCCTGGGAGCCGTTGTTTTCCCGAACAATGCTTTCACTTAAGGTTTTTCTACGTCTGTTCTGAGGAAGTGGGACTGCGTGACAGTCTGGCGGCTCCGCGGTCGCCGTCCCCGCCCCGTCGCCGCCTCGTTGCCGCCCGTCGTCTGGGCCTGCGTGGCTCCGTGGTCGCCGTCGCCGCCTCGTCGCCGCCCGTCGTCTGGGCCTGTGTGGCGGTCTGGCGGTTCCGTGGTCGCCGTCGCCGCCCCGTCGCCGGTCCGTCGTTTTGCATTACTCCGCGTTGCCTTGCATCGCTTTGCATAGCTGACTTGCCTTGATCGCGTTGCGACCGCACTCATTTCCAATCGCATTGCATCGCATTGCTTCGCATTCCTGTGCTCCATATAGATTGTCATGTCGAAACAGGAACCTCGGAACTCCCCCATGAGCTAACGTCTACTTAGTTCGTACGTGCTCGTATCTGATTTCGCATACCCGATTCATCCTACACAGGAATTCACACCGTCCCAAGCAGTCGCTGATCGATCCCCCCCCGCGACTCTCAATACGCAATCCCATGTGTGCGCGCTCGATTATATATATATACACACACATAGATAACTTAAAACAAATCAGCAAAAAAACAAACGGAGCGAAGGCACACGCGCGCTAAGTCGCGCACGAGCGCCGAAATTCGCAACCGAACCGTACTTCGCGAACGAACTGCAAACATCGAAAACCACGGACACGCAAACGCAAAACATCGGATTGTGTTGTAAAGATCTGACTCGCGAAAAACCTGCGGTCGCGCCCTTGCGGGGTCGTGCGAAAAAATTCGGTTGATCTGAAATTTCATTACGTGCTACAACACGAGACCCTCGCGCGCGCATGTCAAAATCCTGCGAGCACCCTTTTCTGCCGCGCGCGCCGTCTCCAGATTCCTGTGCGAAATAACAAAACGAAGTGCGCGCGCGTGCGTCGTCGCGCATGCGTTATCGGACCCCTTCCCTAAACCTAACGCGCTTCCCGAAACGCGGCAAACAAAAAACGCATGGTATAGGAACGCAACCGTTCAAACAAGCCGACGCTCGCGTTCGTTGGCGAACTCTCGAACCAGCCGCACATGCTTCGACAATCTACCAAACTTGTCATCGCCTGCGGCCAAACGGGCCTCTCGAGCGCGCGTGTCGAAATCATTGGGCGCCTTTTTTTTTTCCGCGCGCGCCCGCGTTTTTTGCGTTTGTGCGCGCGCGTGCGTGTATGTGGGGGTGGGGGGGGGGGGGGGCGGCCCCATTCAAATCATCTCACGCGGGCCACTGGCGCGCGCCGGCCGCGCGCGCACGTCGAAATACTGAACAAAACCTCCATCGCCGACGGTGGGCAAATTCCAAGAATCCATTCGACAAAATACCGCGCAATCATCACGCGCGAGCACATGCCAAAATCGTACCAAGCACAATTTGTTCGCGATCATTTCGGCATGTTAACCTGAAAACCACCTACGGGTTTTGCAGCGCAGACGTTGCGAATTTCCGGTCCGCGCGCTCATGCTAAAATCATGCAACGACCAGAGGACGTCTACGACTTCTGCCAAATCCAACGAAGTCATGTCACCGCGCGGCGCGCCCGCGATACTCCCGCCATGCGCCGAGGGCGCGAATCCCTTACAACGAATACCACGCGGGCCGCATGCGCGCACCTTCCGCGCGCGCGGGTTTCTATGTCAACCTTGTCAGCATCACCGCGATCACCTGCCTCATCGTCAGATGGACATCAGCATCGTCAGCATGTTTGCCATCATTGGCGCCGTTATCGTTCGTGCCGTCGCCCTCTTGAACATCGTCGTCGCTGGTGCCATCCTCGTCATTGTCGCAGAAGTTGCCGACGTCATCTTGTCATCGCGTACGCCCGAGTACCGAGTATCGTCGATATGCCCCCCTTCATCATCAAATCACGGCGACGAGCATCGGCAGTGAGGATGTTATCATCAATGCCGTCATCGGTGACGCCGCCGCCCCCCGCATCATGAACTCTGCCAAACGAGTTGCGCGTGGGAGGGTGGGATGTTTGCGCAAGCAGTGCAAACGACGACTTCACGCCCAGCAGAATGGATTCTCCTCTCTACAACGAAAATAGACTCCCCCCCCACCCCGGAGTTATCGGCTCCCCTTTCGGGTATGTAGATCATATATGAGTCTGACAAGACGTCCACCCGAAAAAAGAATTTACACTATCCCGGGGGGGCCGGGCTCGGCCCCCCAGGGCTTCCCTGTTAAAAAAACTACGCGGGGACATCCTTTGTCCTAGCAGAAAACTTGTTCGCGAATCCCTTGTAAAACAAGAAAGGGCGAAGAGCACACGCGCGCGTCGTCGCGCGCTCATGCCAAAATCCTTCAAAAACCTTCGGTACCTGAAGGGTTTCGCAATCGAGTTCCCAAACAACATGCAAAAGCACAGGGTTTCGCAACACTGATTTACCAAAAAAACTTACGCGCGAGCTCTTGCGAAATTTGTCGAACAATACAACATACCAAACGGGCTTCGCGCGCGCATGTCGAAATCTGTCGAACGCCCTTGCACGTGTGCCGTCGCGAGGAATCCTCTGCAAAAAAAGAGACGAAGTGCAGACGCGCGCGTCGTCGCGCGCGTATGCCGAAATCCTGAAAAACCCATTGGTTTCGGAAGGATTTCAAAATCGTGTGTCCAAGAAGCCTACAACAACACAAGGTTTCGCATCACGGATGTTCGACAAAAGCGTGCGCGCGCGCTCGTGCGTCGTCGTCGTCGTCGCCGTCCTCCCTCCTCCCGCGTCGTCGTTACGTCGTCCTCTGTCTTTCCTCGGGTTCGTCGTCGTCGTCCTCTTTGGCGTCGTGGTCGTTTCCGTCGTCGTTGTCGCCGTCGTCGTCCTTCCTCCTCCTCCATCGTCGTCGTCGTCGTCCGTCGTCGGCGTCTCGTCGTCGTCCCTCCTATTTCGTCGCCGTCGTCGTCGACGTCGTCGTCGTTGTCGTCGTCGTCTTCCCTCCTCCCTCGTCGTTGTCGTCGTCGGCGTCGCCGTCCTTCCTCCTTCTTCGTCGTTTGCGTCGTCGCCGTCCTCCCTCCTCCCTCGTCGTTGTCGTCGTTGTCGTGGTTGTCGCCGTCGTCGTCCTCCCTCCTCCCTCGTCGTCGTCTTCATTGGCGACGTCGTCGTCGTCTTCGTCGTCGTCGTCGGCGTCGGCATCGTCGTCGTCTTCGTCGTCGTCGACGTCGGCGTCGTCGTCGTCGGCGTCGTCGTCGACGTCGTTGACGTCGTCGTCGTCGGTTTCGTCGTTGTCGTCGTCGTCGTCGGCGTCGTCATCGTCGTCGTCGTTGTCATCGTCGTCGTCGGCGTCGGTGTCGTCGTCGTCGTCGTTGTTGTCGTTGTCGGCGTCCTCGAAGTCGTTGGAGACGTCGTTGGTGTCGTCGTTGTAGTCGTTGTCAGCGGCGTCGTCGTCGTTGTCGCAATCGTGGTCGGCGTCGCTGTCGTTGCCAAATGCCATTTGGTACCCACCGTCACGGTCTTAAGAGATTTTGCAAACCAAGTTGCGGGTGGGTGGGTGGGATGTTTGCGCGAGCAGTGGAGTGGACAACTCACTGCGAACAGAAATTAATTGCACCCCGTAGACTGTACAACTGATGCTGCACCACATCCGCGACCGCGCCTCTGGGCACGGAGTGGGCGTGCTCTCAGGTCCTTTGTCTTATCCTCTGAATCTGATAAGCCTCAGTCTGAAAGATTATTACGGGGCCGGCGCCAGAATTGCCAGATCTCCACGGCTTGCCGCGGCTTGCTGGGGGCGTCCCGCATCTCACCGCGTGATTTGTTCGGGTCCTACAGGGCCCCAAGAAATAAAAATCACTAATGTGCCTCAGGTGTTCGAAAGAATTTGGCGTTTTCGTTTTTTCGGTTTCGCGACGCCCCAAGACGGCCAGACGGGCCTCGAATATCGCTCGAAAAGAGAAATCAGCAGGGCCCCAAGACGGCCCAAGAGGGCCCCAACACGGCCCAAGAGGCGCCCAAAACGGCGCAAAAAGGCAAAATAAAGACTGTTCCAAGATGGGGCCCTGATGGGGGACCCGATCGGACATTTCGGATCCTCGGCCCCGAGGGGGCTCCAAGAGGTCCTAAAGAGGCCCCAGGACGCCTCCCACAGCCCAAGAGGCCCCCCAAGAGGCCCCCAAGAGGCTCCCGGCAGGCCCAAAAACTGTTCCCAAGAGGCCCCTGGCCCAAGAGGGCTCCAAAACAGCCCGAACAGGTGCCCAAATCGTTCGAATATCGCCACAAGAGGGCCGCAAGACAAGCGAAAAAGGAGAACACGAGCCTGAAAAACAATCTTTCCGCCCCAAAAGGCCCCCCAAAAGCCCCCCAGAGGCCCCAAGCGGCCCAAAAGATGCCCCCCGTAAGCCCCAAGACGCAAGAGGCCCCTAAGAGGCCCAAGGGAGGCCCCAAGGCGGCCCAAAACACGCTTCAACACTTTCTACAAAAGGCACCGTCAGGCCCCCAAACAGCACCAAAGACGCCCACGATAATCCCCACGTCGTGCCCCAAAAATCCACAACCCCTTAACTTTGGATCATACGCGTCTCCTGGGGGTCGGCGGAATGGCGTAAACCTCTTGAACCAAACACATTTACAGCGTTCACGTTCCAAGCGCAGCCCAGTGACAACAGCCAAACAAACAAACTCTGCCGTGCCTAAGGGCCACTGAGGCATGGTGCATCGCTCACACGAGGCAGGCCTGAGGGAGGCGGAAAAGGAGGCAGGGGCGGAGAGAACGTCAGCTTGTGATTGCGACAAACACGGAAGGCGCGTGATGAAATAAATGATTACCCTGCTCGGGCGAACCGCGGGGGGGGGGGCGCCCGCCAAATGGAAACACGCGGCGGCGGCGCCTGTGATTCGCGCCGCCGCCTGGTAGCCAGCGAGAAGGCGACAGGGCCGAGGGAGGCGGAAAGAGAAAAAGGGGCGGATGTACAGGGGGTAGAGGCCTCCTAGATGGGGTCGGAGCAGATGGGGTCCGAGGATCGCGCCGCATCGGCAACGCAGCGGCGATGCAGCGGCGAGACGTCGGCGACGCATCGGCCACGTCGTTGTAGAGAAACACGGGCTCCACATCGCGACGCATCGACGATGCATCGGCGATGCGGCGCGATCCCCCGACCCCATCCACTCCGACCCCATCTCTAAGACTTGCCGCCGCTCGGACGTCCATGTCCCGTGCATGTTTCGGTTTTTCGCGCGTGTTTTTGTTGCTCGATGGTCCAGGATGGTCCTCGATGGTTCTCGCCGAGAAACAGTGCACACGTCCGAGCGAGGCCAAGACGAGGCCCAGAGGCACGGGGGGGGGGCGCAGCCAGGAGACGCGCCGTTCCACGCGGGAGGGGCGGGGCCGCGGCATCACACGGCCGCCGGGGCACAGCGCTCCCGGCGCGCCCCGCCCGCCGCCCCGGCCGGCGCGCCGAGCGCTGCGCCAGTGCGGGCGATGCCCCCGAGGCTGGCCTGCTCCTGGCTGGAGCGCGCTCGACTCCAAACTCAATCAGAGTCGGCTTACACATGGCGTTCCCTGAGCAGGGACCGACCGCCCCGGCACTCCTATGGGCCTACCACCACATGTGTCAGCACCCCGGAACACTTCGAACCAGAGTGCGGGGGCCGAGCAGACATTCACTGTCCTTGGGTGCGTGGGTGAAGTGGGATTCCGCGATGCGGATTAAGGTTGTTGCTGTCGTGGTTGCGTGTGGTTAGTTTGGTTGTGTGTTGTTTGTCTATGTGTTTGAATGTTTGCATGTTCGTTGTGTTTTGATTGTGTCGGTGTTTGTGTGTTTGATTGTTTGCTTGTGTGTTTGTTTGGTCGTTTGTTTGTGTTGTTGTTGATGTTGATTGTTGATGTTGTTGTTAATTTAAATTGGCGTCTTCCCCCCCGCGACCCGCCCCGCGACCCACCCGCGACCCACCCGCGACCATCCCGCGACCCACTCCACGATCCAACTCGCTCCCCACCCGCGACCCACCCTGCGACCCACTCCGCGATCCACCCGTGACACTCCCGCGACCTGGCCCGCGACACACCCGCGACCCACCCTGCGACCCACCCCGCAACCCATCCCACGCCCCACCCGCGACCCACCCCCGACCCACCCGCGACCCACCCGCGACCCACCCGCGACCTGGCCCGCGACCCACCCGCGACCCACCCTGCGACCCACCAACACCGCTTTGACCAAAAAATCGGCGCCTGCGGCGGGCTCACTGCATAATTTGCGAGAATTATGCGCGTGCGGCGGGTTTCTTCAGAGCATCGCGACTGCAGACGTCCTCGCCGCCTCCTCACTTTTAGCCGCAACTGCGGGGTGCTACGGTAACAAAAACAATGCTCTGAGAACCTGAACCCGAGGTGTTGAACCAAGACGGTCGAAGCCAGAAATGTTCCAAGACCATGTCGTGCAAACCATAAAAGGTTATTAGAACATTCTTTGGTGTGCCTGGAGACCAGCCAGGACACCTCGCCACTGCTTGAGTTCCGCCCACCCCTCCCCGCCGCTTTCTCAAACAGCGCTGGGCCGAGAAAAAAGGCGTGCAAGCGAGTCCCGCCTTGCGTGAAGTCCAGATTGCCGTTCGTGGAAGGCAGAACATTAACCCCGATAAGAACCACCCCGACACGCGAAGCCGTTCCGTCAACGCAACCCAAGGAAGGCATCAAACAGGGCAGGGCTGTTTCGTAAACGCCCACGGCCATTCCGTAAACGCCAGTGGTCCGGTCTGGGTGGTCTTTCCCCCCTTGACCTCGGGCCTCGCCACGCCCTCCCCCACCCCATAGGAGGGGGCGGGCGCTGGCGCCGAGGTCGGGGCGGCGCTGCAAAAACCTTGCCGCACCCGGCGCTCCCGCCCGGCGTCGGGCCGAGAGGGGCCCTCGCGGATCGATCGGTTCCAGGGGACGGCGCTCCGCTGGAGATATATCTCTGGTGCATCTTTTGCTGAACAAGAAAAATGCCATAAACATCGACACTTGAGTCCCTCCGCGTGGATTTCTTGCCAGACCCTGGACCCATCGATGCGGATCTGGCCCTGGCCCACGAGACGCCTCCAGGAGACCCCCCCTAAAAAAGCGGAGGCGGGAAGGCCGGCCGTATCGAGATCCACCAGAAAGGGAAGGTGACCCTGAGGGGGGGCATAAGTTCAATCTGCTGGTGCACCGAACTGCCGCAAACAGATGATCCCCGCATGCCCCACTCAACGGCAAGTATCGTCAGGTCGGGCATGTCCTCCTAGAGTGGATTGTGTAGGAAAGATGCACAATAGGCACAAGATATTGAAACATAGTCACAAAAATGATGAAGCATCGTCCCCAGAATAATGTTTACTGCTTTTGAGCATTCCTCCTGTAGAGGAACATGCCCGACTCAAAACTATCAGGAGCTGCCTGCGGCTGGGGGGCATCTATTCTGAGCAGGGACCGACTGTCCCGGCATTCCTGTAGGCCCACCACAAAGGCCCTTAGAACCCAAACATTTTCTAAGAAGAGAGGCTATCCTTAGAACATAAGCCCTAAGTGTTGAAACGCAACAGTCCCAACCAGAAATGTTCGTTCTAAGATCATTTCGTTGAAACCACAAGAGGTTCTTAGAACCCTGCTTGAAACTTGAATTTTGGGCGGTTCGGTGCAACAGCCGCGCTCTCTCTCTCTCTCTCTCTCTCGGGGATGGACAGACCCCCCTTTAGCAAATCATGGTTTAGTGAAAACGACCTGAGGCCCAAACCTGGCGGGCGCAAGCCTGGAAAATAGCAGCCACGGCGCCCTCTCGCGAACCGAAAACGGCCAATTCACTAATCGACGTGTCACTGGTGGGGGTTCTGTCCACCCCCGACTCTCTCTCGCACGCACACACGGGGCACACACCTCCTCTGCGGGATCCCGGCCGTGGCGACGACATGAGAGCATCAGGGAGGCCGGCCAGAGGACGGGAGACGCCAAAACGGGGGGGGGCGGCACCGCTGCCTCAGCGTGGCCTCACGTCGGGCCTGCACCCCCACGCGAAGAATATTCCAAAATGGTCAAAAAATAATCGGAGGAGCATGTTTCAGCACCTTTGAACATCTTGGGAATACTTTTTGTGCATGTTTGCATGTTCGTCCAAAATCGGCCTGCAGGGGGACAGGACCGACTTCAGCGTGGCCTCCTCCGACCCACATGCGCACGCGTCCCGATAGGGAAACGAACAAAAAATCACATAAACATCAAAACTCGGAGGTCCGCGCGGATGTCTCGCATCGGCGCCGACCCCTCGAGGCGCCTCCGGCGCCGCCCCCAGGGCGCTCCGCGCGCCAGGGAAGGGTCCTGGGAAGTCCTCGATCCTTTCCCCGAAGCCGACTTCTCATCCCGCGTGGCTTTTTGCTGCCACCGCCCGGGGACCGGCGAGGCCGCCCGAGGCCGCCAATCGGGCCGGGCGAAAGGGGGGGATAACAACAGGGGGGTTTGAGAATCAGCTCACGCAGCTGATTTTCCCGGCGCCTCCCGGCGCCGTCGGCGGCCGTGTATCGGGGAATGGGCCCCACGGTGGGGCTGAAACCAGCTGCGTGCAGCAGACTTCGTGACCCCCCCTTTCCCTATCCCCCCCCTTTCGATCGGCCCAAGCCACGACGGCCAGACCACTTCCGCAGCGAGTCGGCTTACGACGCGAGCACGTGTGGGGATGTTCTCTGCTACGCTGCTCCTCGCCGCGCCTCTCGCCCGCGTCGCCCGCGCCCTCCGCCGCCACGGCCCGCTCCGCCTCCGCGAGCGGCTGCAGGGTGGCGGCTCTGGACCGCTCGTCGTGCGGCAGCGCCGACTGCTCCTCGCAGGCCTCGACGGACTCCTCGGCCGCGCGCCACGGAGTGGCCGCCGGGCAAGAGGGACCGCCAGGGCTACGATGCTCCAACCTACTTTCGCCTTGACCACCAGAAAAAATCGAGCACCCCAAAAGTACCGCAATGCAAGGGTTTCCACGTGTCGGGCCCTGGGAGACACTCGTCCGACACTGTTTCGGCACTCTTTCGACACCTTTTCCGGGTGCTCGAAATCATTTCTGGCATGTGGTCCTCAAGCACGGCTGGCGCAACATGATAACGCCAGGGGGCCGCACGGGGGGTCCACTCCGAACGGACAGGCCAGCGCCAGGGGGCACCCCACGGGGCCCCCGCGGGGCCCGCGCCAGGGCGCCCTCTGCCTAACGCGAAGGGCCTCAGTCTCTTCTTGCCGTCGCTCGGACGTCCAATTCCAGTGCATCTTTCGGTTTCGTGCGTGTTATTTTTCGCTCGATGGTCCAGGATGGTCCTCGATGGTTCTCGCCGAGAAAAAATCAACAAGTCCGCGCGATGCCAAGCTCTCGGCCAGGAGCAGCCGAGGCTCCTCGCTGGTGCACACGGCGCGCACGGCCCGCGCCCCGCCGGGGCCCTCGGCCGAAAGGCTCGCGGGGCCGCCGAGGCTGCTGCGGCGTGCCGTGAGGGTGCACTGGCCGCCGTCCAGGTATCAAGGGGCCCAGGGACACACAAACAACTGAACACAAATAAAAGGATGCCCAATCTTTCCCCAGATTTGCTTGGTTGTTGTCTTCCCCCCCACTTCCCATATTTTCCAATATTTTTTCTGGGGAATCGACGATGCATTAAGTCTGTGTGTCCCTCCTGAAGGTCGACCACCTCCTGGCCGCCGCCCGCCTCGCGCCGCGGGGGGGCGCCCGAGGCCGAGCGTCGGAGGACAAAGGGGGGAGTCTCCCCGCACGGCGGCGCGGCGACGCCTGCGCGAGGGCGTCGCGCAGGCGGCCCACGTGGCACGGAAAACTCTGGGAGCAAGATGAGAGCTCCCGCGCGATGCGATGCACAATCCAGAGACAGGATCCCCCCGCATCGGTAGGAAATTCCCCCCCACTTGATGGGTCTCCCCATGATGTGGTTTGGTAATCGGGGGTGGTTGCCCGTGCGTGTGCTGCCGTGCACCTGAGTGCATTAGTGAGGTGGCTCTGCCCCTGCGGGTGTGGTGTGTTTCCGCGGTTGCTTCAGGAAGCGGGGGGGGGCCTGCACCCTTGCATCGCAGGGGCCTTGGGCTTCCAGTGGCAATCCAAAGGTGGCCGTGGTCGTCGTCCTTGTCGCTGTCGACGCCGACGGACACCACCTCTAGCGTCGACCCCGGCGTCGTCCTCGATGTCGTCGTCGTCGCCAGCCTCGTCCTCTTCCTCATCCCCTTCCTCGTCGTCGTCGTCGTCGTCGCCGCCGCCGCCGCCGCCGCGTCCGCCGTCCCTCCTCCCCCGATCCCATCAGGGGGGAGGGCGCGTAGGGACCCTGGGATCCATGTCGTCAAGAGCGTGGGCACCCGACACCCCTGGATCACACGTGGGCAGCCTGCGCGCGAACGTCCGTGCAGACGGCCCCAGCTTCCTGCGCCGCTCAGCGTCCACTGGCGCGCAAGCCTGGACAGGCCAGCCCCGGAGCCAGTATCGGTGGCTGCGCCGTGCTCTGTCGCTGCGGCTCGTGGAGCCACGGCTCGTGCTCAAGACAACGCCGTGCGGCTGCGAGTCCGATGGCGCACGGGGCCCTGGCGCGAGGGGCCGGCAGCTGGCCCCAGGCATGCCCGAGAGGGGCCCCCAAGCGGCCCAAAAGGGCCCAGGGACGGCCCACGACGTCGCCAGGAGGGCCCCAAAGGAACATACGAGGCCCCCAAGACAGACTCGAGGAGCCCCTGACGGCCTAGGCGGTCCCCAAGAAATCCACCGGGGCCCCGAACAAGCGCAAAGAGGGCCACAAGACCCAAACGGCCCCAAACGGTGCCCTCCGCAATCGAGTGCGCTTCTCTTTGATTATCTGCGACGCCAGCGCTGTGTTCCCACAACGCTTGGCCGCGCAAACAATTGTCACAAGGGTTGGGGAGGCGGCTGCAACTCCCCGAGCCGTCTTCAGCCACCCGATCGCCGTGATCTGTCCGCGAAGCGAGGGGTTCTGGACCACCCCTCGATGGGCTTCTGCGGGGCACCGGGGTATGGAGGAGGGAGGGAGCAGGAGGAGAAGGGAGGAGGAGGGAGGAGGAGGATGAGGAGGAGGAGGAGGAAAAGGAGGAGGAGGAGGAGGAGAAAAAGGAAGGGGAGGAGGAGGAGGAGGAGAAGGAGGAGGAGGAGGAGGCGGAGGAGGAGGAGGAGGAGGAGACGGAAGGGGAGGCATCGAGCTGGAGTCGGCGACGCATCGCCGCCAAATCAGAGAGAAAGCCCCTATCGCGGATCCGCGCGCTGCTGGGCGGGCGAGCTAGCAGGCCCGCACCCGCCCCGAACTGGGGGGGGGGACCTTCTCCCCCCCCAACGTTGCGCCCCCCAACGTTCGGGCCATGACTCGGCATTCCCGAGGCGATTGACGGCCGCTTGGATACCGACGAAAACGTGGCAGAGGGTTATTCGAGCATTCTCTGGTGGGCCCAGAAGCGAGCAAGGGCGCTTCGCCACTGCCTGAAGAAGGCGGCGGCAGAGGAGGCGGACTCAAGACCTCCGCTGCGAAAAGCCTTCGTGGACGAGCCCTGCGGCCACGTGGCTGCGGGGACGGCGGGCGGCGGCCACCTTACTCTTTCTTTTTCCTCCCCTCCCTCCTCCTCCTCCCTCCTCTCCTCCTCCTCCCTCTCCTCCTCCTCCGCTCTCCTCCTCCTCCACTTATCCATCCCCCTCTTCCCCTCCCCCTCCTCCTCCTTCCCTCCTACTCCTCCTCCTCCTCTTCCTCCTCCTTTTTCCTCCTCCTCCTCGCTCTTTACCTTTTTCCATGTGCCGCCTCCTCCTCCTCCTCCTCCTCCTCCTCGCCTCCCTCTCCCCTCCTCCTCCTCCTTCTCTCCTCCTCCTCCTCCTCCTCCTCCTCCTCCTCCTCCTCCTCCTCCTCCTCCTCCTCCTCCCCCTCCCCCTCCCCCTCCCCCTCCCCATCCAGAAGGCCGAGGAGCACTGCATGTGGCCGCCCCAGCTCAACGGCACCCTGGGCGCGGTCGCGGGCAAGCCCGCGGGGGGCGACCGCGTCCTTGGGCTGCTCCCCATGCCCGTCCGCGTCTGCCCAGCGCAGGGCACGAGCGCGGCACGCGAAGGCCGCCCTCCGCGCGAAGCGCGTGCTGCGCCTCCGCCGCGCTGCCGCTCGGCTTGGCAAGCTGGGCGCCAGCCTCCACGCTACCGGTGTCCAACCCCAGGCGGTCTACGGCCACGAGGTCTGGGGCATCGCCCCCTCGCGGCTCATCCAGCTCCGACGTGCCGCGGCGGCTGCGGCGGCGGGTGCGGGGCCTGGTCGCTGCCTGGACACCGCCATGGCCATCCTCTACCACCTGCGAAGTTCTTCGACTCGCTCGACCTCGCATGGCTCATCGAGCGCGCGGTCGCCCTCGGTTTTTCCACCACGGTCCTCGTCCTGGAGGTGGAGGCATTCCTGGCCCCGCGCTACCTCAAGAGGGGCGATTGGGTGGGGCCGCCCATCTTCGCCAGCCAGTCCATCGTCGCGGGCTCGACCAACGGCACTAGGTTTGGCAAGATCTTCCTGTGCCCCATCCTACAGGCTGCCCAGGCCCAGGCAGAGACCGCCACGATCTGGTCCTACATCGACGACACGGTCTGGAGGGCCGAGGGGACCAAGGAGGTCGTCACGGATTCCCTGGACACGGCCAGCGCAGCACTCGCCCAGCAGTGCGCCGCCAGCCGACTCACGGTCTCCACCAAGACCACGTTGGTAGCCTCGACGGCGAGCTCGCGCAAGAACATAACCCAGCGCATGCGGCAGCACGGTGTCCCTGGCCACGGCGCCAACCACATGGTCGACCTCGGAGTGGATGACTTCCACGAGTATTCCGAGCTGCTGGACGACCTCACCGAGGACCTCGACCTGATCCGATGGCGCCGCGCGGCCAATCACGCCCACGGAGGAGGCCTCGGCGATCGAGGAGACGTCACCCAGATCAAGCGGGAGCTCGACCACTGCGTCAAGCAAGGGCACTGGCAGGAGCGGGCCCTCAACTACCTCGTCGCGGTCGGGGGGCAGTGGCCAAGGCAGCGGCAGATTGACGCTGGCTACCAGGGCTCCTCGCTGTGCCAGCGGTGCTTCGGCGAGGCGGAGACCCTCGAACACCGCATCTGGCGCTGCCCATGCAGCGCGGGGAAGCCTGCCTACGACCAGACGGCCCACCTCATCCCCCAGGCGCTCAACGGCATGGAGCAGTGCCCCGCCCTGTGGCTCCGCGGCATCAACCCCAAAGCCAACGCCACGCTGCCCCCGCCGCTGGACCACGAGGAGGTCTACGTGCAGGTTGGGGCCCCCTGGCCTATCGGCACCGCGGGCCCCGTGATCCTCTTCGGCGACGCCTCGGGCGGCAAGCACGGCACGGACCCCCGCAGGCGAAGGGTCGGCATCGGGCTGGCCATCCTGGCGAACCACGGCTTGTCCTGGCAGCTAGAGGCGGGCGCGATAGCCACTCTCCCTGGGCGGCGGCAGACGGTCCCGCGAGGGGAGATTTACGCCTTCGTCCTCGCCCTCGAGCACCTCGACGCGGACATCGACTACGTGACCGACCACATGCCGTTGCTCAACGCGTGGCAGCGGCAGCGCTGGCTGCAACTCGGCGCGGGCAAGAACAGCGACCTCTGGGCGCGAATCGGCAGGGCGTTGGCGGCGAAGCCCACCAGGAGGGTCACGGTCTCCTGGACCCCCTCGCACCAGGAGGACGACGGCGAACCGATCGTCTCGAACTTCCTCGCCACGGGTAACTGCTGCGCCGACGGGCTCGCCTACCTCGGGGCCGTTTTCGCCGCGAGCGGCGCCAGCGCGAGCGCCCCCCACGCGGACCGCTGGGACGTCATCACGTCGCAGGTCAGACGCAGGGCCAGACAGGCCTTGCTGGGCGCCGCTGGAGGTGACCCATGGCTTACGGAGAGGCCAGCGGCGGAGCAGGTGGCCCGCCTGTCGCCCCTCCAGGACGCCATCGACACCTCCGCCCACCAGATCGTCGCGCTCGGCCAGGGCAAGTGGAAGTGCCTCCTCTGCCGCCAGGTCTTCGCCTCCGCCTCGCTGCTGGAGGCGGCCCGCACACCTTGCGACGCCACGGCGGCGGACTGGGTCACGTTCGACCACGTCCGCAGGGTCCAGCCAGGCAACGCCGTCTGCATGGGCACAGGGGCCGCCCACGAGTCGCACCGCCTCTACGAGTGGCCTGCCAACAGCCTCTTCTTCTGCGGCACCTGCGGAGCCTACGACACCACGCTGGGCATGGGTTTGAGGTCAGAGTGCAAGGGCACGACGACGCGCAAGACCGCGGAGGCGCTGAAGAGGATCGCCCAGGGCGTCTACCCCTCGTACCAGGGCCCCCCCAAGGCGATCGCGCAGGCCAACCACATCAGCGCCACCATCGCCCACGTCGTCTCGGGCGCCCTGGCCCCCGCCGACCCACCGGAGCACGCTGAGGAGGCCACCGACAATTCCACGGCGGGCCAGATCGAGGCAGTCATCGGAATCCTCCACGGCCAGGCCATCCAGGCTGCGCAGCGGCCCTCGCGCAGGCAGGTCAGCGAGCCAGGTAGGCCCCCGGCCGCGACCAGGCGGAGGAGGCGGGCGGCCTCAGCCCCGGGAGGCGCCGACATCAACGGCACGCGCCTTGGAGCGGCCGCCCCAACGGAGGCCAAGAGGGCCCATGGGAGCGGCCACCCGCGGCGGCAGCGGCCCGCCACACAGGCACAGACGCAGGGCTCGCAGGTGGGCGCGCCGACGGCAGCGGCAGGAGGCCCCCTCGGCCCCCGCCTATGGTTCCCCGACTACACGTCGCCGGCCTCGGGCGCCGTTGTCCTGTACTGCAACGCGGCCACTGGCGCGCCAGGCCGCCGCCGCCCACCCGCGGAAGCCACAGGCACCAGGGAGCCCAGCCCGCCCCCCCGCAGCGCCGCGCCCCCCGCCTTGGGCCCCAGACCTGCCCAGCCGCCCGCGAACGAGCGCACCTTCGGCCAGAAGGTCGCGTACCTCCTCGGAGCAGCTCGCCGCAGTCTCGCGGGGGAAGGCCCACAGGACGACGCAGGCCCGAGCCCCACCGCTGCACCGGAGGCCGGCAACCGCCCCTGCCTGGCTGCAGGGCAGGCCGCCGGGGCCGACGGGCGGGCTGCCAGGGCGCTCTCGGGCGCCGCCGAGCTTGGGTTGCCGGGCCGCTCCTCTGGCAACCGCCCCTGCCAGGCTGCGGGGCAAGGCGCCCAGGCGTTTTCGGCGGGCGCCGCCTTCCTGGGGTTGCCGGACCGCTCCTCCGGCAACCGCCCCAGCCAGGCTGGAGGGCAGGCCGCTGGGGCCGATGGGCGGGCTGCCGGGCCGCTCG